CTATCTTTATCATTTCGAGTCAAAAGTCATTGATGCGTCATTTGTTTTTGAATTAGCGAAGCAGGAATTATTTTATTTTAAAGAAGAAACTAGATTATAAAAATTTGATAAGTACAATCTACATACATATATTGCTAAAGTTCGATTTTGAAATATTTTCAGTCATTTGGGTAGGCTAGGTCTCATGTTTCATAATATATCCCTATCATAGACGTGTGTTAGCTATGGTCACTGTTTTCCGTTTAGCAGTTCCTATGTTATATGTATAGTTGATTATCTCAGTGGTATATAAAACAATCGTGTTAATACCATTAGACTAACGAAGACTTATTTATTATCTTTATTTATAAAAACTTTAAGGCATTCAGGAAGTGACGTACAATCACACATTGAATTATCCCAATCAAGTCATCTTCCAAACATTAATTACTACCGGATATGTTCTACATTTTCTCACACTTATTCATTACATTATACAGATATTTCGTTAAGACTAGTTAATTAATTATATTTAAGGAAAGTAGGCTAACTTCGGCTTCCTAATTAATTTTATATGCGTTAATCATCATTAAATTATTTGTGTTATTCTACCATTGTCATTACTATTGTACGTTTATTATTTCAGTTGTTTCATAGTTCACTTTCAGCTTTAATTTTAAACTTAATCCTTACTAATATAAATCGGAAAGTGAGTTTGTTTGTTTGTTTGTTTGTTCCGCTTTCACGCCGTAACTACTAAACTGATTGCTTTGATTTTTTGCAGACATAAAGTTAGAAGTCCGGATTAAATAATAGGATACTTTTTATCCCGTAAAAAATTGATATACCCGAGGGAAAACAAAAGTATTGGTATAGATGGCGCTGTGTGAATTGGTATATGTCACATAGGCTACTTTTTATCCTTTTGTGACGCGAGCGAAGCCGCGGGTAAAAACTAGTTATACATACATATATACCATTTTTGGTATTACAAAACAACAAACACTAACAACTGCTATTAGATTTTTCTCAGAATATACTTAATTTATTTTGTTTAGCCAAATACATCCTTAATAAGTTACGTAAATTGGGTTTTGTTTAAAATATACCTACGTAATAAATATGATATTTAAATGTTGTATTTACCTGTAATTCTTTGTTGCTCTGGTTAATTCTTTTGTAGCTGTATATACATATATGTGTGTGTTGTAAATTATTAGTTTTGTAAATAGTAACGTCGCGTTTAATTTCCGAGAAAAACGTTAATTTTTTGATCAGTTGTTGTTTGAGTCACACGTACGGGTTCTTGACATAAAATTTTCATAAAATTTAAAGTCTATTTTACTCGACGTGAGAATTCAGTTAAGAGTTTATTCATAAGCCATCCATATCCATAATATCCATAAAATCCATATCCATAATATCCATAACCATAAGAAAGCGTCCTGATTCTACAAATATAAATTTAATGACATCATATTCTTTTGTTTGTTCTTATATTTGTCATAGTAATTGAATTTGCGATGAATGCGTTCACAGTAATTCTTGGGTAAGTATGCTAGAGAGTATTATTAATATTATGTCATCAATATGTTTGTACGTGTCAGCCATCACTGAGTGTGTAATGTAACCTAATAAGTAACACCTAAGTGTTGTAATTAATTAACCATGACTGCCTGTTTTTATGAAAATGTTTGTAAACATTGTATTGATTTTCTTCGTATTTGCACTGTTTTGTGACGTAAAATAATGTGGACAATATTTATTAGGACGCTTTCATTAAAAACTATGTAATAAAATCTTTAAATCCGAATTACACACACTTCTAATAGTTGTATTATTATGAAACTTGGCTATTATGTGTAGATTAGATGACTATGTAATGTTATGGTAATATCGAGCAGGTTTGATGATAGAATTGGAAGGGCGCTGATGGATTCTTGGGCTTATAAGATATGCCCATTTCCCCTGATGATGAGGACATATGATTGAAAGCCTGTTTTCAGTACTTTTAACTTCAACAACAACATCATTATAACATTATTACTTATTATTCGAACGTCAATTAGTCAATTAGACAGTATCTCAGGTCCATATATCAACCGTACTGTCTAATTGACCTTTGATTTGTGCAGAGTGAATAACGTGTCATACATTCGATCCCTGCAGAGAACAATGTTTTGCGTGATCTACAAATTGTTGATACGAATTTCGATGCGTTTGACTTTCTTTATATATTCTGTGTCTATAAACTGTACCCCACAACAAAAAAAAACTCGGGTATATGGCAACGTGTAACTACATATATCTATTATTTAAATTATATGCATTTCATAATTTATCTATTTTTATGTTATTTTCAGCCATGATCGTCCCACTGCAGGGCAAAGGCGTCCCTACCCTCCTTCCACTCCTCTCTATGTAAAGATTTTTGCGGCCAATCCTTGTCATAGATGTCCAATTCTTCCCGCCATCTTCTTTTGGGCCTGCCGCGACGTCTCTTGACGTTGACTGGGCTCCACTCAGTAGTAAGTTTTGCCCATTGGTCGTCTGACATGCGGAAGACATGACCAGCCCAGTTCTACTTTAAGCCTGCGGCTTTACGACCAACGTCAATGATTTTAGTTGTGGAGCGCAGTGTGGTGTCTGTTAGTAATTAATCAATTCTGTCTGATAGTCGAACTCCTACGATACTGCGCTCCATGACCCGCTTACAAACCTGGGTTTGGACTTTTGATGTTGTGTCAAAGACTAAGTTTGAGCGCCATAGGTGAGGATGGGCAGAATGGAGACGTCCATGAGTTTCTTTTGAGCGCTAATGGAAGATTACCTTTCATTAGGTCTTTCATGGACAAATAGCTCTTCCAGGCGTGTGCGGTGCATCTAGTCACTTTTCTATCTTTTCTCGCCTTGAAAGAAACTTTTTGGACGTATTCCATCTACCTCTAATACTATTATAAACTTGGAAATCATACTTACCCTTGTTGTCGGCAGCTGGTTCTCTATCTATCCGAGCTACGAAGCAGTCCACAAACCACGCCCTAAATTAATATTATAATGTTTCCCATAAAGTCTTGAATAAATCTTGTTTGGGTGTAACTAATTCGGTAAATGTCGGTGCTCATAATTCACATAATCGTTAAAGCAATTAAAATCACATTACGCATTGACTCCTTTGAAGCTCGGTTGCCCCAGAAACGGTCGGCCGAGAAATCTATGTTTTCGAACAAAAGATCGTAATGCTGAGGCCTATCCATTCAAAGTAATTAGTATGAATGGAACTAAAGTGAAGGTTCACTTTGCTTACATATTATGCCAACTTTGAAAAATTTAAGTAAGTGATACCTACATAATGGGGTGAAAACGCTATTGTTCTTCTTGTACAATTTCTTTTGTATTTTCTAAACTATGTTGAAGTCGTAATTATGAGTTACCTCGTAGATGTGGTTGAATTCAAGGTTCCTACTATCTACAATACGGTAGTTTCCTAAATATTATTTTAATGTCCGTCTGGTAGATTACTTTAAAACATTATACACGTATTATTTCTTTTCTTACAAAATTGAATACTTTCGACGATATATTCATTTGAAATATGGTGTGACGTCACAGCATGCTGCATTTTACCGGACGTTGTGACGTAGCGACCTCCCACTCCTAAACTTAACGCAATTTTATCTAACTATTGTATAAAAAAATACGTGTCTGATATTTTTTCAATATCTAACTGACGGGCTAATTAGATTTTTAATTTTCTTATCCTGGCAACTACCCAATTCAGCTAGGTCTCAGTTGTCACACTGGGAGCGTTCAAGTATTACGTAACGCAATTTTTGAAGATTTTTGAACCCCTACCCCACTCCTGTAACGCACCGTAACGTTTTTCTGTACCCCACCCTGTTTTTAACGCCACGTAACACTCAAGTGATCATTTTTACCCTAAAGTCGCAAAAAGGTATGTTAGAGATAGTTTTTATCCTTGGTATAGTTTTAAACTGTCTTTGCGGTAATAATACGAAATAAAACAAGAGATTTTTAATCCGCTACACCTGCGTATTTTGTTTAAGTTTTTATTAATTTTTGGCTTCACACACAAATCTGTTTCTCCTTTATTCTCCTAAGCATTTTAATTGTTTTTACTAATAAACTCTAAAAATAAAATAGCATAATTTATTTTAACCTTTGGCAATGTAATTGAATACAGAACCCAACTGAAATTAAACATTTTACTCGAAATAAAATTGTGTTCTTAACAAAATTAAAAAATTATTCAACTATTAACCAAGCATTTAACTAGGTCTATAAAAATAATTCGATTGAAATTACTGCTCTTCTATCCACGAGTTGCAATCGAGGGATTCCCCGTAAAACGTAAATGAAAAGGGTTGCCAATTTGGGAGTTTTAATTCCCAAATTCATCAAGGTAGTATTTTATTACAAAAGACTCGCCACCTGTTCCTTGAGAATTGGTCAGACTGTTGGAATTTCAATTATTAATATTATTTAGCCGAAAACCGCAAACATAATTAGTACATACTGGAAACACCAGGAAAATTTAAAATATTTAATTAAATGACATAAGTATTTAAACGGATAAGTAAACTGAATGTTCATAATACATGTGTGTATGTAGGCGCACGGTGACTAACCGTGCGATTGCATTGCTGCCGCGTCATTAAATGAGTTCACCTGCTGAGATCAAGTGAGAATAGCTCTTTCCTAAGAAAAAAAGCGGTTTTCTCCTAATTTTAATCCTCAAATAAAAATGGGGACAATCCATTTTGATTGTTTGAGACTAGAAAATTGTTTTTATGTTTAAGTGTTTAAGGGCAAGTTCAACCTGTAAACGATTTAGCTTCTTTGTTTTAGTATCGACTGAATTTTGTATTGTATATAGAGCTACATATATGTATAGGGCTGACGTTTTTCTCTTAGCAGAAAGCCCTACTTATAAAAAAGATTTAAAAAATTAAATGTTCTATAGTTAATCAAAATAAAACACTGAAAAACAGTTAACGCAGGAGATTTTTTAATATTATCTTCCACTAGTGGTCTATAGCAATAAATTATACTTGTTAATTCCATATAATAGATTCTAAATCTGTACATATATACAACAGTTCATGCCTAACCTATATCACAGTTTACACAATTAATTAATCTACATAGCAATAGTAGGGAACCATTCTTATTGACTTCGAAAGAAACTTCTTTGTTCTTATATCGATACCTGGAATAGAAAAGAGGACATATATTTTATGTTTGACTAGAAACAATACACTTGGTAAATATACATACATATTACATAACATAACATCACATCTTTTATCCCCGAAGAGGTAGGCAGAAGTGTACATTGCGTCACTTAATGCCACTGTACAATGTAACACCTACTTATCACTATTCATGTTATGAGTTCCATGTAATACGGGGTGAGCCTGTTGCCATATACCGGGCACATTTCCAAACTCCGTGCTGCTACTGAGAATGTTTTTTAAAAACCCACTAATCTATTGACAGACCCGGGAATCGAACCCGAAACCCCCATGTCCGACAGTCGCACTTGCGACCACTCGGCAAACGAAGCAGTCATTAATTTTATACATACATATTATTGTATAAAATTAAAGTAATTTTTGAAATTGTACTCAAATAGCTTTAAGTAAATTTACTCTTGTGGATAAATTGCAAAATTATACGCTTGGGAGTACACTGTTAGCATTAATTAGAGACTTAAAGCAATCAAAATGTATAGTGCTCTAGTTACTTATAAAGCAGTATAACATTTGATTCACTTCGTCGTGTTTCATAAACATATTTACATTGTAATCTTGGGTAAAAGACATGTATTAGAAAATGATAGAAACAAACAAGGAGATGTGATGGCCATGTCTATTCTTTTCTTTTAACATAATGTAATTTTTTTAAAGGGTAAACGTACAGACACCTCGCCTGATGGTAAGCTAAGCGCCACCGCGTCAATAAATACAATCTATTACCTTTAATTATGTTCTTAGGTCATTTTAATTTCTAAGAATGACCTCATGAAAATACATATATGTACAAATATTATTATAAATTTATTAATGAAACAATTTGACAAATTCTTCATAATTTGTACGAAAAAGCAATTCCGAGAAAATATTGAGTAATATCATGAGTTGACTGAGTGATGTTTGAAATTTGCAATTAGATATGTCGACCACAAGTACGTTGTTTGTGGTTAGAAAATCATAAGTATTTTAACTTTACCTTCCTTAATATTGAAATATTGTTTTAATTAAATTACCTACATCAATCGTCACAAAACATCATCGAGAAACTAATTACTTAGAGTTAAGGGAATTTCCCTTGATAATACTTTTGTATTATCGAGACAGATTCCAGTAACTTTGTATTGGTGTCAATTTCTAAAGTACTAAATATTATGCGTAATAACATTTAATACTGATTGAAGCCAATTAATCAATCTATTTCCAGGTAATTGATAATATTACACCACAACACAGAGTTAATAGATATTTCTCTGGGTAATAAAGACATAATTAATAGTTGTGCAATGAACTTCCAGTAATTGTAGTTAAAGTTCTAACGATTATTATTTAGTTTTGTTTAAGTTAAACCAACTGAGGATAGAATTACATTTCAACTCTTTATGAATATGTTACAGTTCAGTTATATCTACGTAGATGGAGGAAAATTTTAATTTCTCCTTTCTCCATCATCATCACCAACGGCTGGTTTCCATACACTGCTGGAAATAAACCTCTCAAATAGCAGCCACCGAGCTTTATCTGGCGCAGTTGGTGAGATACTCGCAAGCGGCGAGTGAATAGTTCAACCACCAGGGGGCTTACTCTTAAATCCAATTCCGATCGATCGACATTGGTATTGTAAAATTTCGTACTCTTAAGTTGTAACACTAGCGCCCATTGCATACGTATTGCATGGATGTTTAATGAACTAAATGGTATTGAGTTTAACTTTACATTCCGTACTCTGAATGCTATTTTAACAGCTACGATAGGGGTCGTATAGTTTCGACATAGAATAATTATTGAGTTTTTATTGGATTGAATTTGCATTGACATTGAGATTGGTTTCAAGAGTAAGCACCCAGATGTGGACGCATCATATTTTAAATGAAATATTAACGGAACAAAGATTTAAATGAACTCACCACATATTATCGTCAAACTTGGGGTAAAACGTTCCATGACATCGAACTCGCACACAATCCCTGGGCGTCAATCACTAATCATCTAATTAAATAACTTGCATACAATGAACTGTCTCTAGACATTTTCTTACAACTAGAGCTACTTCTGAGATCTGTTTTTACACACTGCGACACCTGTGAACAAGGATAGAGAGATTTTAGAACAAACGGAAATGTTAACAAAAGTAATTATATTATAGAATGATAACTAGACATTTGGTATAGTTTTTATTTACTACAACAATAATATGTTCATAAGCTTTTCTCTAATCTTGCTCAAACCTCTACGACTATTTGCAATAAAGAATCAGACAGACTAATACGTCCACGACTACAAGTCGAGACTAAAATAACGACGAGAATGGTTTGCTGAGACGTGTATTACTTAAATAAACTTACAACCTTATCTTCTAACATTAAAATTGAAAATCTATTAATTTAATATCCGACTCTGCAATCAATTTCTGACTTCATCACAATCGGGACTTATTGCACACTTCTTTTAATTTTCCGACTGATATTAGTATAATAATAAAGAAATTATTAATACACAATTAAATAACGCTTTATCATGATAATGACTGAAAGAAAAGCACTAAGACTAAAGTGCTTTATCCATAATCAAGATTTGTAGTTGTGTTGTGGAACCATGTGAGGCTGTTAGCATGATAAAGGGCTCCGTGCGCTTTGTGCAGCGGGCTTTGGCGGCATGCTTGACTATGTAGATATTTATAGTTTTCTTACTATTCAGAAACACACAAAGTCATCAAACGTTGGTGGCCAGTGTCTGCCGCGTCATTATTTAATGATCCTATCATATTCTGTTTCCTCAGTGCAAGACTTGGTACAAATATTTACGGTATTATGAAGGTTTGTGTTTACAGTTTTGCTCGCGTTGATGTTAAACTTTTCCTGTTTTTTTGACATTATCTTTGTATGTAGGTCCAAGGATAAACAGAATGTATTGGGAAAACCATTACCGTTACATAATGAAATTAAAAAAAGAAATATACATATTGCCGTTCTATAAAAGAGGTTCTCTATTTGACTTTTGTTTTTAATTTATGTATTTTAATATTTTCACAACCAGGATTAGTTTTACCTCCAAATATTAATAATTTAATATCACTTTCTTAATCGGTTATTTTGAGAAATAAAATTTTATGAGAGTTCACATAAAACTGACGATTTTGCTTTTAATAGACGTCTTAATGATCGCAATCAAAAGGCATGTCTGTTGAAATTTCGCAAATAATTTAATAAAGTATTAAACCGCCAAGGTTTATGAGGTCTAGATCCAAGTCTAATTAATTTACTTGATATTTCTAAACCATATGCCTTGATTTATTGAATATTGATCTAAATGATATTTTTCGTATTCTATAAATAGAAGTCAAGTAATGATATCTATCAAACGCTATTTATTAACGACATCATCACATTGTTTTATCAAAGGAGCTAAAGTTTAGCCAATAATATTATAGAAACTTCGCGGACTTAAGTAAGAAGACAGGGGAGGAAAAGTAAAGAATAAGTTATTGTTTAAATAAATGAACGAGAAAAATATTTGTTATATCTATTTAAGTATTTAGCTATTTTCAATCTTATATGAGTTGAAGAAAGTTTATATTAGTCTTTTCAGGTTATTTTGTGTATAGGTTTGTATTAGTGATTGATTTAACCAATCTTTTTATCATTATTGAATATCAGTTTTTCTAGGGTTTCCCAAGTTCTAAAAATCTATTAAATATGCTAACGTAACGTACTTAAGAGGTTCTATATAGACCCAATTTTTTAAGGCAAAACAATGACAAATCTTTTTTTAGCGAAGCGGTACGAAATCTGCCGTTCTCCTTTAAAGGCAAGCAAAAAAGTAACGCTAAACAAAAAAGCTTAAATGGAAACTTAGTTTGTACCTTCAATAATAATATTCGTAATATATCTTCCTATGTAGGTAGTAAACATGCTGGAATATGCATATTCCAGCATATACATATAGGTATAATGTTTTATAGATTAAACGGTGCTGGTTCAAAATATGAAACTGAATCACTCTTGTATACGCTTGGTTGGTTAGAAAAACTGAGGTTTTATATACAAATCACTCGTTGTTCGCATCGATTTCCATGAAAAAAAGTTAGTTATCCCTAAAATGTTTTTACAAACAAAATTATCCAGTTTCATTATTTGGATGACCAACTGCAAAGTTTTTCGTTTGGTCTACTAAACTTGGTGTAGAACTTGTAACGGAAAGAATTTTAACTGAAAATAAATAAATTTTAACCTAGCTTTAAAGGATCGAAAATTATGACACTTTTTTAAAATATAAATCCCCGAAATCAGGTTAGCTGCAGATGCATATATAGTATGTTTCTACAATATCTATACAAAACATCAACCATTTTTTTTTTTATAATATTTTTTTAAATTCTCTCTTGTGGTCACACGCAACGAGGATATAGATAATTAATATTTCTACAATTCATCCGTTGACATAGTTTTGCAGTATTTTAATGAGTTTTAGACGATTTACCTCGTGAGATATGCATAAACTGATCGGGGAAATACAACATTGACGCACTTACCCTTATTTTTTTTGCAATTAGAAAATATCGAATGGTTTACCTAAAGGTGAACCGTAAAAAGAACAATACATGAATAGAAAACGTAGATGACGACAAATATGGATTGGTTGTGTTACGAATGAATAATGAATATTTTATAATAGGTAGGATCCTTTTTACAAACGGTTGATATGAGATAACGGAAAAAAAGATATAATGGGAATGGAACAGAAGATGTAATAAGTATACCAACTCTAAATTAGCGATACGTAGTCTCTACCTACCCCCATGGGGGACATGGGGTTGAGGAGGTTATGTATGTATGTATGTATGTCCGTATATCTAAATCAGTTTGGGCAAAGGCTTGGGTCTAAAGAGAAGGAAAAGTATTTTAATATGTTATTGATATTGTGAAATCACTACATAGTATAAAACAAAGTCGCTATCCACCGTCTGTCTGTCCCTATGTATGCTTAGATCTTTAAAACTACACAACGGATTTTAATAGATAGAGTGATTCTTAAGAAAGGTCTATATGTATAATACATGCACATTGCTCCCGTGCGAAGCCGGGGCAGGTCGCTAGTAACTATATAAGTTTAAAAAACAATCACCGCAAGAAAGGACCTCCGACTTGGTGCTCTTTCTAACTAAACTGTAGAGTAAATATAACATCATCAAGATCTTATCTCTCGATTGGATTAGTAAAGGTATTCATGTAATAGCCGTTCCGCTGTGATCTCCGATTCTTATGCCAATTGACTGCATGGTTGGCAAGGTGGCTGGGGTTGCCCAGGCATGGTTGTCGCGCAACGAGTCGCAGGGTCGATTCCCGCACGGTACAACTCTTTGTGTGATCCACAGATTGTTGTTCCAGGTCTGGGTGTCATGTGTATGTGAACTTGTATGTTTGTAAACGCACCCACGACACAGGAGAAAATCCTAGCGTGGGGTAATGTGTTTTTTTTTAATATTGTGGAGATTATGGCAAATCCCTCTTATGTTGAGGAGACTCATAGTCCAATAGTGGAGAGACAATCTGTGAGAGGGTCGTTGATATGATATAAGAGCCGTTTCATCATTTTATATTGGCACTATTGGATCATCCTAAAATAAGAAATTCATATTTTGATAACGGATAACCTTTATTGTTCTTTCGAAAATATTATTCCCTTTCTCGACGTTTAGGACGACTGGATCAAAAATTGACTACACGTTTATTGTAAGGGCTGGGGGATCCGTTGCAGTACAACGTGACGCGGGTTAATTCTCGCATAGAATAATCATTTGAAGCACAAATTGTTGATCCAAGCTTTACAGTTTACGGAGCCGCGGAAGACTTAACGGGTTACCGGGGCTCTGGCTCGAAGTGCAGAAGTAGGAACGGGGTGGTTTCTAGTCAGTAATAGTCTGACACTCCCTCTCGCCTCACCCGGGCGGGGGAAGTCATTGGATGATTTTCCCCCCTCAAAAAAAAGTCTGAATGTGAAGTACTGGCCATCATTTATGTTTGTAAATGCATCCGTAATACACGTGAAAATAGATTTTTTAACCTAAAGCTTAGCATCCTTTATCCCTCATAACTACCATGTCACAGGCATATTATAATTACAAATAGTTGAGGTATTTCTAGATGACAAAGTGACAAACATACAATCATTTATGAAACTACAATATTTTCATCATATTGTAGCGGTTAGCCGGTTACTTTGGCAACAGAAAACGAACAAATGCGAAATTGTGGTAATTAGTCGTTGAGTAATTAAACATTAAACATAATTACCGTTGCAGCCTTACTCATTAAAATAATGAGCTTCAGAAAAAGCAATTATCTCTTATTAGATTAGTTTCCAGATGTTTTTTAATAAACATTTGTTTGTGTGGAAGTTAATTTGTTTTGTATTTAATTTTATAGTAAGGACATGCCTATTTGAGGTTATAATTGGCGTAAGTATACATAGGTATGTACGACTGCATAAATCGAATGTAAATATAACATTATCAATTTTCCCCAGTACGCAGTGGGATTTTTTACCGTACCTAATAGGTGTTGTAATAAATGCCTGTTATTTTATTTATTTACTATTTCACTTTTATGTGACAATAACCTACTTTCATATACTTACTCTCTGTGTTTTTAATGAGAGCTTCGATAAACTCAAAATAATTTCATCCGGGTATAAAAATCTGAAATCCGTTGGTTGACAACCGTGCCTGTCACCGCTCGACCCATGTGATAATAAATTAATTATGTGGGAAGGGAAATTATATACCTAATGAAATTTCTCTTATTACAACTTAGGTTTTAGCCGCGGCTTTGCCTGTAGAGAAAAGGTAGCTTTATATTCATGCTGATATAAGTACCAATATAATTATTCTTTAAGACAATATTGATGGAGTAGATGTTTCCATAGTTGACTCGTTGGCCGAGTCGTCGTAAGGACGTCTACCGGGCAAGGGGTTTCGTGTTCGATTCCCTGGTCGGGCGAAGAATTACTGGGTTTTTTAAAAACCCCAGTACTAGCACGGAGTTTGGAATTGTACCCGGTATATGGAAATAGGCTTACCCCTATTACATGGGACTCATAACATTAATAGTGATAAGTGGGTTCTACATTGTACATTGGCATTAAGTGCCGTAATGTCCACCTCTGCCCACATCTTCGGGGATTAAAGGCTTGATATTATGATATGTGATTGAATAAATAAAGCGGAGACAAACAATCTCACTTTTAGTATTTATAATATTATTGTTTGAGTTTGACGTCTTTTAATAAAATATTATCCATTTGTTACGTCAACTGTGAAACATTAAGCAACAGAGTGTGTAAATATTAGCTGACATGAGTATCTAGAGGTATAGACAGTATTAGTCATAAAGAATTTCAACTAAGTAGGTATGTTAATTTGATAATTTGTCGAATAGGATATACCTAATAGATTAGTTAGTTTTTGTAATAGGTATCTACTTAGGTAAGAGATAACACTATAAATAATACTCATGGTCGATCAAACCTACGCCTGGGTCACATACTCGTGTAGTGTATATCTCGTTAAGAGTCGGAAGGAAAGATAATGAGAGTATCAGATAGACTTGAAGATTAACTCTTTCGAAAAGTGGTGATGAAGATTATTGTCAAAGCTACTAAGGTTTTTCTAAACAGTTCACCGTCCATACTACAAATATCTCCATAATCTGTGTTTTAAGAGTTAATTGTTAACTCTATATTGAAAATGTCACGTTAAATATTCCGAACGACCACATGACTCTGTCAATATAGTTCTGCACCAGGCGATTGACGGTAACTCAGTGACAAGTAATGTCCACAATCTACGAAGTCACGGTCCCCAGCAGCGAGGTAATGAAGAAGAAGAAATGCAGCCGCAAGGTAGACTATTCACTGTCATACCTTTATATATATATAGTCCGATGTTTAAGTAATGAGCTTACTTTAGAATTTAACTGCATTGATGTTATAAGGATTGAACTTCATAAGACCTGTATGTATTACCTTAACATGTAAATAAAGAGTTTGAGTTTGAAACTTGACAGTTAAGCATGTTAAATGGGATCATAAGAAATACCCTGTTACTTTAGCTTCGGATAATAAGTTAACAGAACTCACCATTCATGAATTAAGCGTATAATGTGAAAATTGACTGGTATCTCGCCACGTCCATAACGGAGGTAGGCAGGACTGTTGCAAACCGGCCAGCAGCTCTGCATGGTACCTCTGCGCAGCCAAGAGATAGGGCGGTGGTAGCGGGAGAGGACAGTGTGGCTGTATTGGCGGTGGTGGAGGTGGCGAGGGAGACGACCGTCTGGGCTCGGGCTCCAGTAGAGCGTCTATCGTGAAAGCTCTGCGTGGTCGTGGACCCAGGGGGAGCAGTGCTGAAGTGTCTACTGCCTCCGTCGGCTCTGGGCTGGGCCGCGATATGAACGTTGATGCTGGGCTGTACATATTACTGCTAGGAAGTGATGCCGCAGCTGGAGGAGCTCCAGCTTGCCTCGCCAGGAATGCTCTATTGAAACTAGCCAGAGCAGCCAATTCTGCATTCAAACTATCCTTTTCACCCTTGTGCAGCTTGAACCTCTTGCGCCTCCTGAGCAGTGAGCCATTCTCGAACATGTCGAAGGCCTGCGGGTGCAGCGTCCAGTAGGCGCCCTTGCCGGGCCGGTCCGGGCGGCGCGGCACCTTCACGAAGCAGTCGTTGAAGGAGAGGTTGTGCCGCAGCGAGTTCTGCCAGCGCTGCGTGTTGCGCCGGTAGTACGGGAAGCGGTCCGTGATGAACCGGTAGATCTCCGACAGCGGCAGCATGCGCTCCGGGGAGCTCCAGATCGCCATCGCCGTCAGGGCTATATAGGAGAAGGGTGGTTTTTGATCACCGTAGGACTCACGTGTCGGCCGAGGCATCGTTTCGCACAATACTGTTCTGTAATGTAAAGTTTGTCACCTCCGAAGGAAAAACTTGGGCGACACGTCTCTCACAGCGGAGTGGAAGATAAGGACTGGGTGAGTGAGCGAGACTGCGCGCGCGAGGCGGGAGTGGCCGCGCGGCGCGGTCCCGCCCTGCCCGCCTGCCGCCAATCGCGTGCCTCTAACTTTGTTTGTTGTTTTTGTCGGCTCCGGACCCGTTACAGAGGAATTTAAATTGTTATCACGTTTACATTATACAGAATTTATTCGACACCGACAACAGCTTGAGCTTGTTTCGAAATTGCAATGATTAAAGTAGTAGATACTTATTGATGGCGCGGGAGAGAAAGAGAGAAAGAAATTATGTCTATTGCTGACTCTTTAATACATTATTTTACCTCTACTAAAGAGCAGTGGCCTGATATAATTAAGAAGACTAACGACATGAGGTCATATTAATGGGCATTATTAATAATACAAATATGGATGTGTTCATAAAGTTTGACGATGTCAAAGACTTATGAAACTTAAATCGTGTGAAAGTTAGTAAAGTTACTATTAACTATGATGATATGAAATTGTACTGTAAGCGGTACCTGGACTAGGTTGCACTTTCTTAGCCTGTACCTGTACCGTGTAATTATATAGTTAAGTCAGGAAAATGATCTTCACCGATTAGTCAGTTAGAATGTTTATGTTACACACAGTAGTAGGTACTTACAGACAAGCTACGTTAGGCCGTGAGCAGTTGCCTACAGTTTGCAGTCATTATCTAGCTGCATGCGCGAGCGCACAACTTTGCACACTCTACTTCCATATTAGTCAACTGTACACTAAGAATATTTACTCACCTATGTTATTTATTTTATTTTACACTTCATGTATAAGAAATCATTGGTCGATTTGATTTCCAATGGCATTTTCTACATTAATTAGAAACGGTGTTTATTAAAAAAAATCTAATGATTGATATGATGTTAATTAGGGCCATCGATTTTAGGTTCATCGGTTTGAAAACCTACAATACCTATGTAGTTGATAACTATCAGTTAACAAGTAACTATATAACTTGTTAAAAAAGTAAACACCCTAAGAATTTGTTATGTTTTAGTCTATTTATTTATTTTAGCCGTCCCACTGCAGGGCAAAGGCCTCCCTATCTTCCACTCATTTTAGGCTAACTAAATAATAGTATGGCCACTATGAGCATCATTTTTTTATGGCATAAGCCGGTAAACGAGCAGACGGAGCACCTCATGGTAAGCAATCGGCGTCGCCCATTGACACCTGGAACACCAGAGGCGTTACAAGCGCGTTACCGGCCTTTTGGGGATTAGGAGTTTGAGGATCGTTGGGGATTCAGGAATTGGGGAGATTGGGGTAGGGGAATGTAATTGGGCCTTCGAATCATAAAGAAATTACCAAATAAAAGCAACCAAGCATTTCTTCCGCATGGATGGAGGACTATTTCCCGCTTCGTTAAGATCTGCGCTATGGCTCGGAGGTAAAATGTCCGGATTCCGTAACATTAGACTAGCTACACTTACAGGGTTCGAACTCGTTCAGGTGTGAATGATGACACGGTGCTTATATAAATGACCTATACTTATGTGCCGTGTCATCGAACGTTAACTAGCCACGTTAATATTATAGATTTAATCTTAACATCTATATTTTCATTCCATGTCTAAGGAAAAGTTGAAATACTTCTTTTATCTTTTGATGAGAATCTGCTGTCCGGATATTGACACTAAGTAGGTACGTATAGAGGACAAAAATAGGTAATAGTTAATCTTAACAGATTAACTTACAAATTAATACCTATTTTGAAGAAAATATTTCTTAACTTATAAGTTAATACTATACTATTTTAAATCAAGTGTACTCAATTAAATGACAACGCAAATTATATTAAAATCACCCTTTTGCACCGAGTCCGTATTCAATATTACCAACTGAATCAATATGAAATGAATTAATTAAATGTGTGACAGTCATGCTTCGGCACGAATGGGCCGGCTCGACTGAAGCGATACCACGGCCGAGCAGAAAACTGACGTGAAACAAAGCTTGTGTCGTTTCGTCGTATGAGTGAGGTTACCGGAGGCCCAATTACCCCATCCCCTCCCCAATTTCTTGAACCCCCAAATCCTCAAATTTTCAATTCCCAAAAGGTCGGTAAAGCACTTGTAACGCCTCTGGTGTTTCAGCGACACCATTGCTTACCATTACCGTCAGCTCGTTTACCAACTTATCCTATAAAAAGTTAAATATTTAAGTTATAAATAATGATGACTTACAATGTTGCATGAATGTATAATAATACCAACTTGAAGAATTTTAAATGAAGATATCAGGATGGTAATTAAAGAATTTTTACGTACATTTTACGACTGTTTACGATACCAGGACTCCAGGCTTAGTAAGAGCTTAATGAATCGTCAAACGCAACGAACTTTAAAATATGTATGGGAATATAATTACAGCTTGTCATCGTCATGTTTTGTCTGCATGCTATAACATACGTATTTGTTTAGTTTTAAAGTACGATGACATAAGTAACAGTTCAATCGAATTTTGAAATAAAAATTATAGCAACACTGTAATTCATTTACGGCTCAAATTAATGATCAATTTCATTCTAAAATATGCCAATTTCTCTGTGTTTTAAACAGAACCTCCACACAAAATAATGTCAAAAATCAATCTCGTTCCAAGGATTTTTTTTAAGGGAGGAAAATCATCGATTTACTGCTCCCACCTGTGTGAGGCGGGAGGGAGTGTCAGACTCTTACTGACTAAAAACCACCTCGTTCCTTCTCCTGCACGTCGAGCCGGAGCCCCGGTTACCCGTTAGGTTCTCCGCGACTCCGAATCGGCATCGGCCCTATTGGGCCCATCTGTGGTGGTCTGATGGCTCTTTGAGGCGCGCGCAGAACGCGACGCGCTGTACTCGGGGTTCCAAGGATTTGGGATTGATTTGAGGTCAGTTAATTTAATTTCAGATTAGGAGTTTTTTTGGTTGGTATTCTGCAAATGAATATAAACTTCGGACGAGCAAATAGCTGTACCGAAATCAATACTTTGATTGTATGTCTTTTAAAGTATATTTTTGGTCAATTGGCATCCAGTTGAATTACCCAAATGATTCCTCTTTGAATTTTGACGAAATCATGTGAAATGATCCTCGTGCTTGGCAGTCACGCTTCCCATCACCTCGTTACCCATGCAGCATAGTAGCAAAAAGCACAAACAAACTCGAGTGACTTGATTAAAAAAATCTAATCTGGTTCGTACACCTCGACTTGCGTATGTGGTAAACTAGGTTCGGTCACGTGCAGTTTTTTCATTTTTTATAATGTGATCTCGGGAATCACGTCATTTGTAAGTAAGGCTGTGTGTTTCATCTCGCCGCCGATAGATGTAATAGAGGCGAGCATCGTCATCTCGATCTGCAGGCTAACCACGTCTCGCCAAATTGTCGGCGTCTTCGCAAATAGCTCCATTAAATTCAATCGGTCGTAGCAACAAGACAGAAGCGTCACTTACCCGTCTTCTATATAATTTAGAGATATTAACGTAACACATAAGCTACAGGACCGCAACCGGGGACCTCGTGCTTTGTATTCCGAATATGTCTCGTCTGCCATCGACAGGATCGCGTCGTGCCAGAGCGGAATCGTTACAGCTGTAATAAAATCTAAAATGGCCTGTTTGGCAACAATAAGAGTGCCAGCCCGAGACGAATTCAGTTTATTAATGTATGCTTGCGTGTGATTACAGCACGAACGTCTTTGTGCTTGTATGGATATTAGAATGTTTTAATCTTAATAGTATTTTGTTGCATTACTCATATTATTAACCTTTACCAGGGTATAAATAGGTAAGCTGTAGGATTGACTTTTGTACGATTTTCTAATCGGCATAACTATATTACTTATTGACGATAATTTAGTCGTGGTCGTTTGAAGTTATATACTAACGTTCTTATAGTTACAACATTGAAAACTTCAAACGCATCTGTCCTTACCGTTAATTCTCAGTACACTATCAATTAATTGAATTGATGTCGAGGAAATATCTAAAGTATTTTCCAAATAGGCAAGTGGAAAACACATTACCTATGTATTGTTATGTCGCATAACTATATGTGTTTTCTGACTAGATATTAATTAGTAGAAACGTAAGTTTATAACAACAGTTTCTGTTGAATAATATTTTACAAAGTAATCAGTATGACGGGACACATTCGGTTATAAATCATGAAGTAAAAAGTTAGGAAAGTTTCCGTCACAAGCAGTGCGCAGGGGTGCCACACAATCGCAATGCCATTGTTACTGTCTTTTAGTCACGGGGGAAGCAATTTTACAGACATGTCACGGTTTACACTGCAACAAACTGTACGATTAAATAGTTATTTAAAATGATTCCACACAATGCAATTAATAACAACTGTATCATTGTTGTATAAATTCAATTACAATCCTTTTATTGCCAACCCTATTTGGACGCGGGATGCGAAATTATTTGCTGTGGTGTTCACTTTTTGAGAAATTGAAAAATAGAAATTGCCACGCCTGTTACGTATTTAAAAGTTTTCCGTGTTGGGGTGAATATTAATAATTTAGGAGATTTTTACTGTGAGTTTTAGACTGCTGCTGCTGGGTTTTCAACTGTAAATTAATATCTGCACTTTTATGGCTAGTAAGGCATTCATTAGTCTAGATTTTAGTCTATTTAAAATTATTTCATTTGATACGGATATGACTCACGCAAGATTCCCTTTGTTGTTACAGATCTCATAGCGAGACGAAACATGGTGATTTCGTTCCCAGGCTCTAAGTAAAACAATTACGGATAGCCATTTAAATTCGTTCAGCAGTTTTGGGTGATGAGCGAACAAACAAAGGAACACGAAAACAAAACGAATTGATATCTGAATTACTTCTTTATTTAGTTAATGGGTTTTAGTTTATGGGAAAAATACACGAACACAGCCTTGTTGGTCTAA